TATATATTGTCGCCGGCGACAATATGTACCGAGACGAGCCTTATTTTCTTCCTGCATAATGGACGACAAAATGTACAGTCAAGCACCAGCACATATTGTCGTCGGCGACAATATGTACAGTCAAGGTCGGCATATATTGTCGTCGATATATTGTTTTCACGAATACTAGTATTTACTTGAGAAAGGAAAGAGAGATTTACAAACACACACACACGCGCGCACGGAGGGAGACAAACACCATTTCTAACAATACTGTAGGGAGAAAACTTTCTGGGCAGAAAATTGTGTCCAGGATTGATGTACATCACTATGATATGTCAAAATACCGTAATTCTTTGAGACATCTGATAAATCAGCCTATTCTTTTTTCTTGTAAAATATACTTGGGAGATTGAATACACGTATTAGTTTTTTTGTTCAGTAGTAATGATTTTTTTGGAAATTAATTTTGCGTTTTTCTTATATACAATCATATGTAGATTAATTGGTGTTGAGGTTCACATTTTTAGATCACCTGAGCTGGAGTTCAAGTGAGCTTTTCTGATCGCATTTTGTCTGACCGTGCCTCTGTCTGTAAACTTTTCACAATTTCAGCTTCTTCTCAAGAACTACTGGGTTAATTTCAACCAAACTTGCCACAAAGCATCAATGGATAAAAGGGGTTCAAGTTTGTTCAAATGAAGGGCCAGGCCCTCTTTCAAGGGAAGAAAATAAGGATTAGTAAAAATTTAGTGACATCTTTTAAAAATCTCAAACACCACTGTGTCAGAAATGATGAAACTTATGTGAAAGCTTCATTATGACTTGTAGATTCAGTTTTACATGTATTCAGATCATGTCCCTCGAGGCTACAATAGGTGATCAAATTTTTTTCAAAGAATATTTAGAAAAAAAAATCCTTCGTTTTTTTGTGCTGGGTCAGAAGAGATGATACTTATGTGAAAGCTTCGTTTTCTAGCGTACGATCAATTTTGCGTAGCTGGCACGAAAAAAAATCCCTAACTGCTCAATGACCATGAGTGCCAAGCATAGATCTAAAGAACTACACACGCTAGCTCTCGATTCCCGCCTACATTTTACACCCATTTAATTCAATACTAATGACAATTTGGCCGTAAAATCTTTGTTGAATGCAAAGAACAGTTCAATAGTAATTTTAATTCCAGTGTTAAATAGTTATTTACCCCTAATTCCAGCTCTTTGAATAAGGGTGGTAGACGATATTTTTCATTGAAATCGGGCTTTAAAGCATCACCACGTTTTAAAATATTCTTGGATATGAATAAATTTTCCTCAGATCTTTTCTTATGTATTACTCATATAAAATTAAACATATATTATTAATACAATGTTTTCGTTGTAAACCCAAATGATATTGGTTAAAAATAATAACCATTTTGGTAGTTTTTTGTCTGTAAACATATGTTCCCCCCGTGAAACAACAAAAGCTTTGGTATGAATTTGTGAAAGGACAGTCCATATTACCTGTAAAAAGGAATTTTGTTTCACGGGGGGGGGGGGGGGTTCCGTTGTTTTCTATAGTGAAAAATCACAAGTTTTACCAAAATTATAGAGTTATCTCTCATTGTTTTCCCAAAGAAGTAATGTCTTATGAAAATTCATATGAATATCTATATAGAAATGAAAAATCATTCAAATATGTTAACTTTTGAAAAATGACTTGGAGGTAGGAGGGAGAACAATACTATAGTTTGCAGTTCTTTGCAGCCCTCCATCGGCAAGTGGTGACGTCTACGAATAAAAAAAAATCTCTAGATGGTCATTATAAAAACAAAGACAAAATCATTTTTGTTCAAATTATGACCCCATGGAATAGGTTGGGATCACAATGGGTGATTAAAGTCTTACATAGGAACATATACAGAAAATATTTAAAAATCTCATAAACCAGACAGATATAGGACCGGCGCATCCCCCCCCCCTCCCCGGTTTAATTTTTTGTCTGCTTTGGTAAATTCTGTTTGTTTAACTTGTATATACTCTCAATTTAGTCCGCAGATAAAATTTCATATTTCAATAATTTACTTAACATATACAGTAACACACTTTTACATGCAAATGACTTTTTAAAAAATTTTTAGCTTGTCAAAAAAAATTCTGAACCACCCTCTCTTTTGTCTGGATCCACCACTGAGAACAGCAGTAAGCCCGTGAATAGTGATAGGTATATGGAAGTTTCCTCAGGTAGCGCAGATTCAAGCATCTTCATATCAAACCGGGCCTAGGTTTGGGCCACAATAAGCGATCAATTTTTTACATAGGAATATAATTCTTTAATAATTATCTTCTCAAAAAGAGATTAAGGCAATGCAACAGAGCAAAACAAAGCAATGATTAGTCATATTTATATGGATTGTTGATTGATTGATTATTATTATTATACCTCTACTGAATTTTTCCCTATATAACATTAGATCGCTAGATGTGACTATTTCCCTAGAAATCATTTTAAAAGAATGGACTTCTCGCCGTATGTTAGTCAAGTGAGCTAATCCCCGCTTCGAAAGCTAATTCCCGGTTATCCGTAATCCTCTAGGTCTTACATTAAAATTGGTATTATATGTGAATGGACTAATCCCCGTGTGTTAGTTCATTGACCTAATCCCTGCTTTGAAATCGCGCTATCTGAATCCTCTAAAATTTTACGTTTGTATCGGTTAATAAAACGGTTAAAAGTAAATCATTGAGGCTTCGCCTCGGGAAATAGTCCTGGACTTGGGGAACTGAAATCTTGCTAACTCCCTCAATGATATACCTTAACTGTATATTGTTGTTTAACACCGAGTTGGCAATATTTCAGCCATATTTTGACGAGAACATTTAGTGTATATGGCCATTTTTGAAGTTTATAGTTTCTCTGGCCATATTTATATGGATCATTGCCGTGCATTGTCATGCGACATGTTCTGATGGATGACAATATGCACAGTGAGGGTAGGTACACATTGTCGCCGGCGACAATATGAACAAGACCACAAAATGTACCGTCAAAATCACGCTGCATGAAATAGCATACGAGACACGTCAGTGTGATATACACCCCAATTACATTCACAAAACTACCAAAAAAACAACAAAAGAAGTCTTTAAGCAACAATATCTGTGGGGCGACAATATGTACAGTGAGGGTGAGGCACATAATGTCGCCAGCGACAATATGTACATGTGTTACTTTTCAGCCGGCGACAATATTTACCGATGGACGACAATATGTGCAGTGAGGGTAGGTACATATTGTCGCCGACGACAATATGTACAAAACGACAATATGTACCGTCACAAAAGCTCTCCTCGCCTTTTGTACTCAAAAAATCTTTAACTCCACTTGATTCTGAATCATTAAATTGACCTTAAAAACAGCAATGATTGTATAATGTAATGAGATCAATATATCATCGATTTATTCCCAATGAAGCTCAAGTGAGCATTTTGGCCCTTGATTTATCATTTTTATTTTGCCCCCTAAAAGTTTTAACTTTAATGCGTTCCAATTCACAAGGGGTCATTATTCTACGGGGGTCATTTTTCTTCACGTAGGGTATGCAGGTTTTTAGGGTTATGACACTTTTTCTACGGGCAAAAGGGTCATTTTTCGACGTCGAATAATGACCGGGGGTCATTTTTCGCCGTTGAATAATGACCGGGGGTCAATATTCGACGTCGAAAAATGACCCCCGGTCAATATTCTATGGGGGTCATTATTCGTCTTTACACCGGAATATGTCGACATAATTTGCCTCTATACATGTATATATTTACATTTTAAACAATTTTCTCTGTGATAACCCTTTGAAAGTCATGTGTGTTGATTTCTCGATAATTACAGTTGAATGTAAATTTAGCCAAGTGAAAGGTCGAGTGTTTAATATGCATGCCAATCTCTCACGGCTGTCTTTGTGTCTAATGTCAGTGGGCGGGGACTATGGAAATTAACATGGAATGTCCCGAGTATTTTAAATCTATTTGATGGCATTTTTCATTTAATTTACATTTAGTTTGTTGAGTATGACAGGGATATCAACGACAGTTAGAAACGTGAAATATACATGCATAACATGCTTCAGTGATTCTTTAATAACATTCAGTTTTAGGATTCAAATTCGTGCTATGAGCATGAAACTTGACTCTTGGTTCATGTAAACATAGATATTATTTCTTATAGTAATGAATACTAGTACTGTTCAACGTATCGTTTTCTTTCATAATTTATTACATGTACTGTAAACGTGGAAATGTTGGCATGGGGGATTTTTTTGCGAATTCTGCGATAAGTAAATTCGAAAAATTTATAACAATGAGAATGGTTTCATGTAAGCTACCATACTAAACAACAAAGAAAAACATTTTGTGAATTCCTTTGCTTTCGCGAAAAAAACTCTCACGCGAACTTTTTTTCCATGGAAATCGCAAAATTTTACCCCACAAAAATATCCACGTTTACGGTATTAAGTTTTATGCTTCTTATATTCTGTGAGCGTAACTCAATACCAAATGTAATGTATCAAATGTAATGGTTTGATGTTTGCGACAGAACTGTAATCCTCTAAAAGGTCATTTAATGGATACTAGTAAGTATCTCTTTTAGAGGGCATTGGGATATCTATCTAAGGTGTGTACACTGTATTGCATATCGTTGAGTTGAAACCTTTAAACTTTGTATTTATTAATTACGTGTAGTTTTAAGAAGTTGATAACAAATTTTGCTTCGTTTTAGTAGTTCTTCTTAATTATTTTGTAGCTTTTGAAAACAAAATAAGAGTAAAAAATGTCGATCGATATTTAAATCTTATGCACGTTACTTGGATCCATTTAAAAAAAATTGAGAAAAATCCCCACTGATCTTAGCTGAATGTGAAAGTAACAGCTAGACAGTGGATGCTTTTGTAAGATTCTACCATTCAACAAAAAGAAGAGCGGATCGAGAAAAATTCTGTGAAGGTTGTCCCCATTACTGAAGATTTTTTTTATTCAGTCACGAAATGGGGGAACTGTGTAAAATAATCTTACCTATCAACGGAAAAAATACTAAGAAAGAATGCCTGACAGATATTTTTACAAGGTGTTACATCAAACTTCTCAAATTATCTTTAGGTGATTATCCTGCAACACTTGTTACAACAAGGAGAGGCAGTGGTATTCCTCCGTACCGGGGATCCATGGAGCGCTCAGAAACATTCGAAAGAGTTCCTCTCTTTCCTTTTGTTGGCGGTATGGTATCGAAGGAATATGAAATGGTTGGACAAATAATTTGGAAAACGTTAGACAGGCCAAAAGTTTGGAAATAGAATTCAAAATTTGTTCCACTGGGAATATTAATACCAGTTGCAAGTCTCTAATATACTCTAGATGGTCAAGTTTTGAAAATTAAATTGGGATTGTAATAAACTTTTTCAAATAAATGAATTTTTATGGTCTATTATTTTGTTATTTATTTATATCTTGTGCATATTCATATATGGTTAGATTTGCAAGTACATGTAGATATTTTACTCCTTTTCTTCTATTTAGCTCACCTGAGCGAAAAAAGTATTCAGCATCTATCTGTCGTCTACTGTTTGTCTGTAAACTTGAGCATTGTTTGTAAAGTATAGATTTAAATCTGTACAAACAATGAGCCCCTGGGCTAGGGTTTGTCAACTTATTTTTAAATTCTACAATAGATACGAAAAACCTTTCAAAATCCATCGTCTCAAAAAGAATTTACTTTGAGAAAAAAACTTAAATCCCCTATTGTGATATAGGCCTCCCAGGGGCCATGATTTGAACAAACTTAGTTTGTACTACCTGTGGATACTTATATCTGTGTATTGATAATGCTCATGATGGATTCTACTTTTCTTCAGAAAAACGTCTTTAAGATTTTCCCTGTATATTCCCTTGTGGCCGACCCTGTCCCTGAGGGCTGTGATTTAAGATGAGTCAATACACGTATAAATATGAGTAATCTTGGACCTACTAATTCTCGAGAATTAAATGGGCTTCCTCAAGAACATCAAATTCGTTGAATTCGTTATAACGAATCCCAAAATTTGTTATAACAGATGAAATTCCCGAAAAAATCTTTAAAATCTTCTTCTCAAGAACAGCAAAGCCATCATTGTCATATTTATATGGAAGCATCCTCAGGTAGTGTAGATTCAAGTTTGTTCAAATTATGACCCAGTGGGGTAGGATGGGGCCACAATAGAAGATAAATCTTATAGGAAAAAAATTTTTTTAAAACCTCTAAAGCCATGATTAGTCAAAGAAATATGATAGCATCCTAAGTTAGTTTAGATTCAAGTTTGTTAGTTCAAATCATGTCCCCTTTCCTAAAGGATAGGTTGATACCACTCATAGAATACTGAACTCCTAGCCAAGGTGCTCAGGTGAGCAATGTGGCCCATGGGCCTCTTGTTCTGAATGCATTGCTCTTTATTTGTATATTTTGAATACTGTAAGGTACTCAGCCACCTCGATCTGTTGTGTGTAGATAACTTGACTTTCTCTTGTTGACGAATCGAGGATTTTACATGTTGTCACGTGAATGTTGTCACGTGCCGAAAGAGAAAGTGAGGAGAATTGATATCGGTAAGACCAATGATACATTCTTAATTCTTATGTTTTTATCTTATATTTCTTAATCTGTAGAATGGTGTAACAATATTTAGCATGAAATATTGTTGTCACGCAGGTCATGTCTTGGTGATTGCCATGCTCCTCAAATTCACACTATATCAAGTAGAGCACTTGAGTAATTTTTTCATATCATGAATATTTAACCAATGCCTCATATATTTATTACAATTTCAGCTACTTTCTGGAGAAGTACTTTTGGATAAAAAAAAAGATTAATTAGGCATTTAAGAAAGTAATAACAAATTATGTAATTTAACTATCATAAGTAGATAAGTAGATGAAACTTTTTTGAGAAAGCAGGAGAAAAAAATGCATTTTCGGTTCTGTGTGCATACGTCATTTTAATGAGATGTGCGCTTGCAATGATTAGATGTTATTTGAAACTTTTTACACCTAATGGGACCCATAGCCTCTGGGCCCAAGATTTGAAGACAAACCTTGAATCTTCACTAATTGAGGATATTTACGGTCAAAGGACATTTTAACGGAATTGCAAAAGGTTTGACTTGACATTTTAGCCCAAGAATTATAGGATATTTTAGTGGAATAAAATTCAGTTACCTGGAAAAATTCAAGGGACATTTCAGCAGATTTTTTTCACAAGTAAATTCAATTCTTAGTAAAGAATCAATGTGAATTCAGAAAATATTGGTAAATTTTATTTCAGAGATATTCAAGATATGAAGATAAAACAAAACTCAACTCATATTCAAACAGGGAAGTATACGAGAACACTGTAATACCTAGAATTGATGGAATACTTAAACCAAAGCGTTTCTTAGAAATTTTCTATCAAAAAGACAAAGCTCGTATTCGAACTAAGAGTTCTTTTCAGACCATTCTTATTCAAAATCCTACTCCATTCTCCCTGTTGGTGAGCAGGAGACTGGATAACGGAAGAGAAATATACAGGAATATATTTTACTGAATTTTCCGCTAAATTGTCCGCATCTTATTTCGAATTCCGCTAAAATGTCCTATAAATCTTCCGCTAAAATGTCCCCAAATTTTTCTGCTAAAGCGTCCTGTCAATCCGCTAAAATGTCCGCCACCGATACTTATATAACCCATTATATCCCTTCTGGTCTTAAAATCTCACAGTGCAGATTCAATGTGAATTTTTGTCCCTCCCCAAAGCTTTGGGTGGGGCCATAAAATTGGCATCTTTTTGACGTGGGAATAATCTTTGAAGATTCACACTTGAATCTGCACTACATGACTTTTTCCCCATTAACACTCCTAATTGAAGCCATTCTGTTTTGAGAGGATGAATTTTAGAGACTGTTTCCTATTTATTCCGTTATAAAGCCTCAGAAACTATTATTTGAATAAATCTTAATTAACAATCAATAAGGAAGATTTTACGTATGCAATAAGGAAACTTTTTCTCAAGTTTTGAGATTTTTGATGGCTTTACCTTGTTTTCAATATTTTTAAAAATTATTTCCCTTGACATGGGATAGACCCAATATGAATCTCGATAAACCAAGAAAGCTTCACTCTAAAATTGGTAGATATTGGTGTAGTGTTCTAGTGGTTCTGGCAAAGTTCAAAACATGAAAAGTTTACAGACGACAAACGACAGATTATGACAGACATACAGAATATATATTCTTAAAAAAGGCTGCAAATTTTTTGCTAGAAAAAGAACAAAAATGTAATTAATCGGTCAATAAATATCTCTAAATATATGACCCAAAAAGTGGATTACACTTTGCAATATTCTCGACACAAAATGTAATAACGTACGTGGGTTAAAATAATAAGTTGTTTATTATATTTTGCGTCCTTATTGATTTTGCGTTGCTCCAACCTCAAAAATTCTAAAATGGCACCTCATACCAAATAACGGTACTTTAAACTATTACTAATAACTTTCAGAAAAGGTTTAAATTATAAGAGATTATATACTGCATCAAATAGTGTGCATCACATGATGCAACATCTTAACAAGATTGGTAGAGGAGGAACCTCATTCTAAAAAATTGCATCCTTATACGACGTATATATCCTTATACGTTTAACATACCACACTTATCCGTGTTTCCAATTTCCTTACTGATCTGTAAGTTTATTGATTATTAGATGTAAACTTTCCGATTTGCATTTTAAATTATCAATTGGATTGATTGTTTGTTGTTCGAGAATTTTTCACTCAAATAGAGACGTCGCCATATACCGGTGAAGGGCTTTCAAATTCAGAAATTCACTCGACACTAAGGGCCATTGAGCAGTGAGGGATCTTTATCGTGGCAACGCCTGCCTTGACACGGGGCCTCGGTTTTTAAGGTATCATCCGATGGATCCGCAACTTTCACTTCAATGTGCCAAGTGCTTGGCGAAGGAACAGTTGGTATCTATTTTTTATCGACTTAGGTCAGACGCGACCGGGTCTCGAACCCACGACCTTCCGATCACCGAACGAGCGCTCTACCGAATGAATTATTGATTGGAAAAGACACGAATAGCATTTCAGCCATTCGAAATTAACCTGGAAAATTTAAGCTGAGTATTAAATCTATTCCTCTCCGGGAACTACCTCGTACTGTAATATTCCAGTAAACTTTGGCTTCCGTAAAAACAATTAACTAAATTAAATGATAAAAATCAAAGAGGAAAGGAAAGGAGAAAGGAAAACCAGACGATTATATATGACCGAAGTATCAACATTTATTTGTGCTCAGAAATGAAGATCTTGTGATCTTCTGATCTGATAAAAACTTGAATGAATTCCATACCTCTGCACATTCATTTTCATTATTCGAGTCCAGGAGTGGGGGTGGGGGTTAAGTGAAAAATCACCGTAAGTTTTGTGTCATATCTAGAATAAACTTTGGGTATCTTAAGCAGAAATTCCACTAATCCATTATTCATTATAATTGAAACACCAAAGTCTTTTTTTAAACAACTTCTTAACAAAAGTGAACTAAGTTTACTGATACGTGATTAGCACAAGTGAATTTTTCTTGATGAGGTAGGCCTGTTTAATGAGAGGCTGGATAATTTCCCTGAATGCCTAAGTTTCTGCAATTGAACCTCATTTTCTTGCAATAATTTAGGAATTAGGCTGGCTTCTTGGACAGAATTCTTTAGTGCGAAGGTGACAGGCACATTTTTATCTCTTAAATTTTGATATTTATACAATATATAGAACAGCTTGTTTATGTTTTCAGGGGCAGTTGTAGTGTGAACAAACCTTTTGACTTATTTTCCATGGCCCACATAAGAGGACTGCATAGGAAATTGAAAATTGATGAAGGTAATTCAAAGGGCATTTGTTCACCACTTGATAAAATTTAGCTGATATTCACTGAACATAATTTTATTCGTTTAAAAATCATAAATCCTGGAGAGACTAAAATGTAGAGGGTGCTAATTCAAAAGTTTACGGAATTTATAAAGAGCATTATTTTCTTTTGTAAAACATTTTTCTGTATCTACCACTGAATATAAATGTAATTTGATTACTTTTTTATGTTCCACCAAAATTTTACCCCCTTCTGTTTTTACCCCTTTATTTACTCTATTTTAGCTGAGTTATAAGCTCAAGGTGTTTTTTCTGATCACTCCATGTCCAGCGTCCATCAGTTGTTGGTCTGTCCGACTATAAGCTTCATACATTTTCCATTTCTCCTCTAGAAACACTGGGCCCTTTTCAACCAAAAATGTTAAAAAGCGTTCTTAGATGAAGGAAATTCAAAGTTGTTTAAATGGAGGACCAAGACCCTTTCAAAAGGGGAACTAATAAAGAATTAGTGAAATGGTGGTTACATCTTATTCTCATAACCCTTGAATCCGAAAAAGGGGGGCCATTATAGGGGATGTGTTATATGGGGTAAAATCTTTTTAAAAATTTCTCATGATTATCTGTACTATAATTAGTCCTATTAATTTGCAAACATACTGTAGTACAGATTAGAATTTGTACAAATCATGGTCCATTAGGGGGGAGGAGGAGTAGTGGGGGTTGAAGCACAATAAGTGATTCATGTTTTACATAAGAATATATAGGAAAAGACCCTCTCTTGATGAAGAACAGCGGGACCTTGATTAGTCATATTAATATAGACGGATACTCAGGTAGTCCACATTCAGGTTTGTTTCAATCATAGCACCATAGGGGTAGGGTAGGGTGAGTCCAAAGTAGGGGATCAAAGTTTAACTTCTAGATATAGAGGAAAATCTTCAAAAACTTGTCAAGAACAGAAGGTCCACGACTAGTCATATTAATATGAAAGCATCCTCATGCACTGCATTTTCAATTTTGTTTAAATTATGGACCTTGGGCCAGGGGTAGGGTTCAAAGATGGATTCATTGTTTTACATTGCAATAAATTGGAAGAGTAGCAGTGATACACTAAATTATATTACACTGTACATGCATGTTATGGAAAGTTTCTCAAGTTGTGTGGATTCAAGTTTGTTTTGTAAATTTGTTCCTTGGGTCTGGGGGTTGTTGTTGGGGGTTGTTGATCAAACGTTACATTACACAAGTATGCAGGGGAAAAAAATCTCAGAACAGCAATGTCGTTTTAGTGAAATTGATATTGAACCATCCAAATGTGTGATTCAAGTTTAGTTTTACCATGGTTCTTGAGCCAAGGTTTTACGTGGGTTAAGAAAATTAAATGGGAATATAAAGGGGAAATCATTAGATAATTACTGCAGATCAGCAGGGTCAAGGCTAGGATAAGCGCTATGGTCCATGTGTCTCTTATTTCAATGATTTATGTGTTTGATTTGGTTTTCGTTTGTAATCAATAATTGTTTAAAGACAGTAAAGCTAATTGCAAAATGTTATTTTTGGGGAACGATTTGTTCACTTCTAAGAATAAATAAATGTTTCCCCGAAACCCCCCAATGAAAAATGTTATACGAAAATGTATTATTTTATTACAATAACAATTAAACATTCAATTAGAAAAATAGAAAAAAAATTTAAAAAATATTTCTGAGTACGATCTGAGAGTGTTTGACACTGCTCTTGTTGGTGTGCTTGCATTGCTAGTATCCTTCTTTGTTTAAAATGACCAAGATTACTATAATTTTAAATCTTTTTTTCTGTTGTTGTTTTAATATGTTGCTAACTTGGTAGAGCGGATGAAATAATTTCTCTACTTAGATACCACCATGTCAAAAAGTTATAGTATTGTTACCTAGGAGAGACGAACATTTTTTTTTTATTTAGACCTAGTACATCACAAATTGTCCGTTTTGTTTAACACTCAAAGACATCAGACAACGTTGTATTGTTCTTTTTGAAAACTAATATAGAACTATAATAGATATACTGCATATGTAACAGGTGTCGTTCATCCACAAATACAGTGTGAAGCTTGCAGCAACTATCCAATAAAAGGGATCCGATGGAAGTGCAGCGACTGTGATGACTTTGATCTGTGTGACCCTTGTTATATCATTTACAAACACGCCAAAAGTCACAGCTTTTTAAGGATTGATGCGGCAATTTCTAGACCGTAAGTATGGAAGTCACGTTTGCTTTATCTTCATATATTTCAATTCACAAAAGAAAAGAAAATGGACATTCGTCAAGAATAAAAATATTGAAGCAAGATTACTTTCCATTATGTAAATAGACATTACGTGGAGAAAACGAACGTTCATGTACATATAGAGTGTGATGGCTGCGGCGACTGTCCTATAAAGGGGACTCGATGGAAGTGCAGCGACTGTGATGACTTTGACCTGTGTAACCCATGTTACATCATTAAGAAACACGTCATAAGGCACAGCTTTTTACAGATTGATGCGCCAAATTCAAGATCGTAAGTATAGAAGCCATTGTTCCTTTTTCCTCAAGTACAAATTAAGAGCGTGGACATTTGTCAATATTGAAGTATGATTCCCTCTCTGTAAATATCAAACAGGGAAAATAAACAGATGTTTTTTTCTTATTTGATGGCATTTTGTTCCTTCAGTGATCAACCGTTATAGCAAACTTCAAGTGATATAACCGAAACTACATTTTTATATGTTAGAGCAAAGTCATAGGAAACTTCAAACTCATTTAAACCTATACGGACAAATCTAGGATGTTTAAGGGCTAATCGGGAAGAAAAAATGATAAGAAAAAATCTGACTGAATTTGAAAATCATGCAGAAAGAGTGCTTGAGATGTAGTCTATTTTTTGAATTGACTAAAAGAATGAACTAAAAAAAATGACCAGACACATATTTATCAACCAGCACTAAAACCTAAAACTCAGGCAATGTGAATAAATATCTAAGTCTCAGCATATGTCTTGATTTTGTCTAAATGCTTGTCAAATATCTCATTGATATCTCAAGACACAAAAAATCATGCCCAAAAACGATGCTAAAAATGTCAGGAATGCAACACCTTTTTGTGACATTTTGAAAATTCAATATTTTTTGAAGATCTATGAAATCAATAATGATGGTTTATGTTGGAAATAAAGACTTTCCTGATAATATTCAAATATTGACCTTTAAATGTAAACTGCAGAAACTTTTGTTTGACCAGGTTATGGTCATGGCTTACGTTAAATAAAGGTTACCATGTCAGGAGTGCAACAGAAAAAATGTAGTGTTGCCCATAAACATTGATTTTGAAAATCTGTTTGGGAATCAGGTCAAAAGAGAATTTTCAAAGTGTAAAACGATCTAATGCAACATCTAGATGCAACATCTAAACAAGGTTGATTAAGGAGGAACCTTGTTCTAAACAATTGCATCCTTATACATTTAACATAATATACTTATCCGTGTTCCCAATTTCCTTACTGATCTGTAAGTTTATTGATTATCGGATGCAGACTTTCCGATTCGTATTAAAAATTAATGATTGGATTGATTGTATGTTGTTTTACGTCTGTTGTTGTTGTTTTTTTTTTGTTTTTTTTTTTTGCTTTTCTGTCACATAAGACGTCACCATATATAGGTGAAGAGCTTTCAAATTTAGAAATTTACTCGACACTCAGGGCCATTAAGCAGTTAAGGATCTTTAACGGGCCAACGCCTGCCGTGACACGGGGCCTCGGTTTTTAAGGTCTCATCCGAAGGATCCGCAACTTTCACTTCAATGTGCCGAACGCTTGGCGAAGGAACAGTTGCTACCCATCTTTTATTGACATAAGTCAGTCGCGACCGGGTCTCGAACCCATGATTGGAAAAGACACGAATAGCATTTCAGCCATTCGAAATTAACTTCCGTAAAATATATTTAACTAAATTAAATGATAAAAATCAAAGGAAAGGAAAGCAGAAACGAAAACCAGACGATTATATATGACCGAAGTATCAACATTTATTTGTGCTCAGAAATGAAGATCTTGTGATCTTCTGATCTGATAAAAACTTGAATGAATTCCATACCTCTGCACATTCATTTTCATTATTCGAGTCCAGGGGTGGGGGTGGGGATTAAGTGAAAAATCACCGTAAGTTTTGTGTCATATCTAGAATAAACTTTGGGTATCTTAAGCAGAAATTCCACTAATCCATTATTCATTATAAACACCATAAGTCTTTTTTTAAACAACTTCTTAACAAGAGTGAAGTTAGTTTACTGATATGTGATTAGCACAAGTGAATTTATCTTAACGAGAAAGGCCTGTTTAATGAGGTTCTGGATGATTTCCCTGAACGTCTAAGTTTCTGCAATTGAACCTCATTTTCTTGCAATAATTTAGGAATTAGGCTGGCTTCTTGGACAGAATTCTTTAGTGCGAAGGTGACAGGCACATTTTTATCTCTTAAATTTTGATATTTATACAATATATAGAACAGCTTGTTTATGTTTTCAGGGCCAATTGTAGTGTGAACAAACCTTTTGACTTATTTTCCATGGCCCACATAAGAGGACTGCATAGGAAATTGAAAATTGATGAAGGTAATTCAAAGAGCATTTGTTCACCACTTGATAAAATCTAGCTGATATTCACTGAACATATATTCGTTTAAAAAATCGTAAATCCCGGAGAGACTAAAATGTAGAGGGTGCTAATTCAAAAGTTTACGGAAACTATCAAGAGCATTATGTTCTTTTGTAAAAATTTTCTGTATTTACCATTAATATAAATGTAATTTGATTTTTTTTTTTTATTAAAATGTTCCAGTAAAATTTTATCCTCTTTTGTTTTTCCCCTTTATTTACTCTATTTTAGCTGAGTTATAAGCTCAAGGTAGTTTTTCTGATCGCTCCATGTCCAGCGTCCATCAGTCTGTTGGTCTGTCCGACTATAAGCTTCATACATTTTCCATTTCTCCTCTAGAAACACTGGGCCCTTTTCAACCAAAAATGTTAAAAAGCGTTCTTAGATGAAGGAAATTCAAAGTTGTTTAAATGGAGGACCAAGACCCTTTCAAAAGGGGAACTAATAAAGAATTAGTGAAATTGTGGTTACATCTTATGTTATATAGGGGAAAACCTTTTAAAATTTTTCCAAGATTATCTGTGCTATGATTAGTCATATTAATTTGCAAACGAAGTTTAGTACAGGTTAGAATTTGTGCAAATCAATTGGTCTATTGGGGTGAGGATTAGTGGGGGTTGTAATATATGTTTTACATGAGAATACTAATATATAGGGGAAAAACCCTCTGCTGGTGAAGAACAACGGGGTCTTGATTACTGATATCAGTATAGACGGATACTCAGGTAGTTCACATTCAGGTTTGTTTCAGTCATAGCTCCAAAGGGTAGAGTGGGGTGGGTCCAAAATAGGGGATCAAAGTTTAACTTGTAGATACACGTATATAGGAAAAATCTTTAAAAACTTGTCACGAACAGAAGGTCCACGACTAGTCATATTCATATGAAAGCATTCTCAAGTGGTGCATTTTCAAGTTTGTTGAAATCATCTTGGACCAAGGGTTGGGATGAAAAGAGGATTCAGTGTTTTACATGGCAATATACTGAAAATTTTAAAAAACACTTTGAGAATAAGCAGTGCTACACTAAATTATATTAATCATGAAAAGGTTTCCCAACGCATGTGGACATAAGTTTGCGTGTTATTTTGTAATTTTGTTCATTAAGGTTATGGTGGGGCTAAAATTGTGGATCAAAATTTACATCATGCAAGTCTGCAGGGGAAAAGCAAGGTCATTTTAGTCAAATTGAAGCATCTCCATGCAATGTGATTCAAGGTGGTTAAGTGAGTATGACCTGGGAGTGTTTGACACTACCTTTGTTGTTATGCCTGCATTTTTAAATCCTTCTTTGCCTAAAATGTACAACTACATTGGATTTAAAATGTATTTGTTGTAGTATTTATTTTTCTTCAAATGATATGTTATGAACTTGGTAGAGAGGATGAAATAATTTCCTTAATTAGATACCACCACGTCAAAAGGTTACAGGATTGTTATAGAGGAGAGATGGGCAATGTCTTTCATTTATACTTATTATACATGTATCACGAATAGTCCTCATTGTTGAGCACTCAAAGACATCAGACCTTTTGAAAACAGTAGGGATTTGATAGATATACATGTAACACATATTTAACAGGTGCTTTTCACTCACAAATCCAGTGTGTTGATTGCAGCAATTGCTGTAGCGACTATGAAGACTTAGACCACTCATGTGACTTGATCCTTTATATATTTTTTTTTATTTTAAAGTCATAAATTCTGGAGAGACTCAAATGTAGAGGGTGCTAATTCAAAAGTTTAGGGGAAATTATCAAGAGCATTCTTTTCTTTTGTAGAAATTTTTTTTCTGTGTTTACCATTGAATATAACTGTAATTTGATTATTTTTTTAAAATTTTAATGTTCCAGTAAAAATGTTATCATTTTTTTAATTTCTCATTTATCTAAGCTGAGCTATTAGCTCAAGTTACTTTTTTCTGTTCACTCCTTTTCCAGCGTCCTTCTCTCTGTTGGTCCGTCCGACTGTAAACTCATACATTCCCACTTCTCCTCCAGAAACACTGGGCCCTTTTCAACCAAAAATGGTAAAAGCATCCTTAGATAAAGGGAATTTAAAGTTGTTCAAATGGAGGACCACGACCCTTTTAAATGGGAAATAATAAACAGTTCTTTTCAAATCAACTGAATCAAAAATAGGAGGGAATCAAAGTTTTACTATGTTATATATGAGGAAAAATCTTTATAATTTTTTCTCGAGATTATTTGGGCTATCATTAGTCATATTAATTTGCAAATACACTTAGAATTTGTACAAATCATGGTCCCTTCGGCGGTCGGGGTGGGGTGGGTGGGGGGTGCATCAGTGTTTTACATGGGAATACTCTTCTAATGAAGAACAGCAGGGCCTTGATTAATCAAAAGCAGGGCCTTGATTAATCATATTAAAATGCAATGATACTCGGGTAGTGTACATTCAGGTTTGTTCCAATCATAGCACCATAAGGGTAGGGTGGGGGTAAGTCCAAAGTAAGGAATCAACGTTTTATTGGCAGATATATAGGAAGAATCTTTTTATTATAGACATTTTAGTATGCAAGCGTTCTCAGGCAGTGCATTTTCAATTTTGTTTAAATTATGGATCTTGGGCCAGGTGAAGGGCTTAAATAGCGATTAATTATTTTACATTGCAATAAATTGGAAGAGTAGCAGTGATACACTAAATTATATTACGTGTGTAATATGTAAAGTTTCTCAAGTTGTGTGGATTCAAGTTTGTTTTGTAAATTTGTTCCTTGGGGGGGGGGGGGGGATCAAACTTTGCATCACACAGTATGCAGAGAAAAAACTCAGAACAGTAAGATCATTTTAGTGAAATTGATATTGAAGTATCCAAATGTGTGATTCAAGTTTAGTTTAACCATGATTCTTGGAGCCAAAGTTTTTCCGGGTTAAGAAAATTAAATGGGAATATAAAGGGAAAATCATTAAATTCCTACTGCAGATCAGCAGGGTCAAGGCTAGGATAAGCGTTGTGACCCAAGTGTCTCTTATTTCAATGATTTAAATGTTTGTTTTGGTTTTCGTTTGTAATCAATAATTGTTTAAAGAAAATAAAGCTAATTGCAAAATGTTACTTTTTGGGGACGACTTGTTCACTTCTAAGAATAAATAAATGTTTCCCCCATACCACCCATGAAAAATAGTGTACGAAATAGTATTATTATACTTAGAATTACAGTTAGAAATTCGATTAAAAAAATAAAACAAATTTGAAAAATATTTCCATCTAAGTACGATCTGAGAGTGACACTTCTCTTGTCGGTGTGCTTGCATTGCTAGTATCCTCTTTGCCTAAAATGACCAAGACTACTACAATTTAAAATGTGTTTTTCTGTTGTTGTTTTAATATGTTGCCAGCTTGGTAGAGTGGATGAAATAATATCCCTTCTTAGATACTACCACGTCAAAAAGTTATAGTATTGTTACCTAGGAGAGACGAGTATTTTTTATATTTAGACCTAGTACATCACGAATTGTCCTTTTTATTTAACACTCAAAGACATCAGACAACTTTGTATGGTTCTATTTGAAAACAAATATAGAACTATAATAGATATACTGCATATTTAACAGGTGTCGTTCATCCACAAATCCAGTGTGATGCATGCAGCGACTGCCCAATAAAAGGGATCCGATGGAAGTGCAGCGACTGTGATGACTTTGATCTGTGTGACCCTTGTTACACCATTTACAAACACGCCAAAAGTCACAGCTTTTTAAGGATTGATGCGGCAATTTCTAGACCGTAAGTATGGAAGTCACTTTTGCTTTATCTTCACAAACGAAAAAAAAAATGGACATTCTTCACGAATAATGATATTGAAACAAGATTCCTTTCCATTTTCTGTATAGACATCACATGGGGAAAATAAACGTTCATGTACATATAGAGTGTGATGGCTGCGGCGACTGTCCTATAAAGGGGACTCGATGGAAGTGCAGCGACTGTGATGACTTTGACCTTTGTGACCATTGTTATATCATTACAAAACACACCATAAGACACAGCTTTTTACAGATTGATGCGCCAAATTCCAGATCGTAAGTACAGAAACCATTGTTCCTTTTTCTTCAAGCACAAAGAGCGTGGATATTCGTCAATTTTTAAGTATATTCCCTTTCTTTAAATATCAAACAGGAAAAATAAACATATTTTGGCTCATTTTATGGCATGTTGTCCCTTCAATGATCTATGTACGGTTATAGCAAACTTCAAGTGATAGAGCAAAAATTACTGAGTACTTCTTTAAATGTCGGTGGAAATTCTTAAGAAACGTCAAGATCATTCGAACCTATGCGTACTGATCCAGGATGTTTAAGGGGTCACCGAAAAAATATCAAACGAAAAAAATTCTGACACAAAACTAGAGATTCATGAAATTGGTTCATGTCAAAAATCTGACTGAATTTGCAAAGAGAAGATTGAATGCTTGACATCTGTTGTATTTTAAAAGTGTTTGTGAAATTGACTAAAATTAACTGCTACAATTCCCCCGTAGAAAATGCTAAACTATAATTTACCCTCCCCCCTTTCCTCTCTGTTTTATTACTTTTTATTACGTAAAATTATACATTCTACAGTTTCAACTTTGTAGTCTAGCTGTTTCACTTGTTTTAGCATTTTTTCATTATTATTGACGCTTATTAATTGTGTTCTATGGATTAAAAACAATGATCACCTAAGGGAATATATTCTGATCTATTGCCTTATCAGGCATTAATCGACTGTACATATGTATTAAGGTTTCATACAACATACTTTGGTTTACTAAAGTGAATACTGTCGAACTTGGAATTACTTAAGAAAAATCTTGGATACTTCTTAATTTACTATAGTAAAAAATTGTGACATTTTAATCCATTTACTAAAGTAAAAACTTTGAATACATGTACTTTGGAACTTTAAATAAGCACAATAAAACTTTTATTTATTGTTTGCAAATACCATCGACCTTTGAATTAACATGGTTAACTTAAGTAAAGTACATAGTATAGTCTATTGTAGAAAACTACCATTCCTTTAGTTAACTGTATGAAAATTATAGTTCCCTATAAATTGCTATATGACACTATTAAGGTTCATGGATACTCTGATAAGACTCTTAATGACATAAATGTATGTTATTCCTTTATAAATTTGTCAAGTTGAAATGTCTTTTTTGTTCAATTTTGCCCCGCAAGCTATACTATAATTGTTTATATTTTACTGGACAAATAAATTTCTTTTGTAAAATCATAAAAGTTAAAGAAACATTTTAAATGAGTGAGCAGAGGAGTTATGAACCTTAATGTAGCGTCAAAGTACACATGTTGATACTTTGATTTTTTTATAGTAAACATTATAAAACATTGATTTACCATAGAAAATACTTTGATATACATGAAATATAGTAAAAAAAATTTACATTTTGATTCACTATCATTAATACTATGGAAGTTTGAAATAAACTTTTAATAATTTAATTTGGCTAGGGTAGCCACTACAAGGAAATGCATCGGTACTCCTCCGGAATGGGAAATCATGGGGCGATCAGAATACCATGGAACTTTGCAGTAAAATTTTGATATTCTAATTTACGAAATCAACAATATTAAACCATAATTATATATATATATATATATATATATATATATATATATATATATATATATATATATATATATATATATATATATATATATATATATATATATATAATATAGTGAAATTGTAGTAAAAGTCCACGGTATAGGTAGGTTATAAATTAAAATAAAATCCAAGATAAACAAACAAGTTCACATTTAATTATTACACTAAGCGCTTTCGCCGTGAGGCTCTTCAGAGTGTAACAAAGTTTATAAAAACAATACAACTTGGTTGTTATGACGTCGTTATTGTGACGTCATAAAGGCAGCATTATATATTGGCGCAGGTAAATGTCATTAGGGCGCCAAAAGTAGAGAATTGAACATATGTACATTGTGATGAAATAGACTGCTAATTTTAAGCTATAATGTTCAATTTACATTTAGTTTAGGTTTAAATAATTTAACAAAGTAATCTTCCTTGGCTCTCCGTAATTGTTCATTATTTTCTAGAACTTTATAAAATGGAAATATTAAAAAGTTTCCATTCGCACATGAATCAAAATGTTCACTGCATGGCGTATTCCTGACAGAAGGGTCCCGTATTTGTTGTTTATGGACTCTTACGCGGTCAGCTAGTTTGTGTTACCGGTCTGTCCAATGTAGTTTTCCCCGCATGAAGTACAAGTCATACAGTATATTAAATTTTTAGATTTGCATGACATATTCGCATTTACGGTAAATGTTTTACCACATTTAAAAGTAAACGTCTCTCCTGTTTTTAAATAAGGACAGGTTCCACATAGGGGGTCCATACATTTGGCCACTGTGCGAATGTCTTCATTTGACGAAAATTTGGCTCTTGTAAGGAGTTTCTTCAGGTTTGGGGGTTGGCGCCGTGTTTGTACCATTGTCATAGATGAAACCAGAAGAAACAGCCGTCTACAGGAATTGAAAACTTTTTTACTTAGACAAAAATATCCCAATGATCTAATAGACGTCGCTATTGAAAGGGCCAAGTCAATACCAACTACAGATCTCCGGAGTTCTACAAGAGCAGGGGCCCAGGAAAACAATAAAGAAATCCCGCTTGTCGTTACACATAACCCCCGGAACCTTAATATGTATAATTCCGTAAAACAGTGCTTCCCCATTCTACAACAATCCCAAAATCTAAAGGAATTAATTGACCTGAAGAACATAATCTATAGCCGGCGCCAACCCCCAAACCTGAAGAAACTCCTTACAAGAGCCAAATTTTCGTCAAATGAAGACATTCGCACAGTGGCCAAATGTATGGACCCCCTATGTGGAACCTGTCCTTATTTAAAAACAGGAGAGACGTTTACTTTTAAATGTGGTAAAACATTTACCGTAAATGCGAATATGTCATGCAAATCTAAAAATTTAATATACTGTATGACTTGTACTTCATGCGGGGAAAACTACATTGGACAGACCGGTAACAAACTAGCTGACCGCGTAAGAGTCCATAAACAACAAATACGGGACCCTTCTGTCAGGAATACGCCATGCAGTGAACATTTTGATTCATGTGCGAATGGAAACTTTGTTAAATTATTTAAACCTAAACTAAATGTAAATTGAACATTATAGCTTAAAATTAGCAGTCTATTTCATCACAATGTACATATGTTCAATTCTCTACTTTTGGCGCCCTAATGACATTTACCTGCGCCAATATAATGCTGCCTTTATGACGTCACAATAACGACGTCATAACAACCAAGTTGTATTGTTTTTATAAACTTTGTTACACTCTGAAGAGCCTCACGGCGAAAGCGCTTAGTGTAATAATTAAATGTGAACTTGTTTGTTTATCTTGGATTTTATTTTAATTTATATATATATATATATATATATATATATATATATATATATATATATATATATTGATTAGGGTTGCCACTGCTAAGAAAGGCATTGGTACGCCTTCGGAATGGGAGATCATGGGGCGGTCAGAAACGGTTAAAAGAGTTCCTCTCTTACCCTATCTTGGGGAATATGAATTGGTTGCAAATACATTCAGGACAACCTTACGACATGCCGAGATCCTGCAGATAGACAGAATTCAAAATGTGTTTCTCTGGGAATGTTACCAATTGTAAGTCGGTTATGTACTTGATATATAGATAAAGTTTAGGATCATGATTTTTTATTTATTGATGTATTCATTTTTTATTTATGTAAACTAACGTCTTATGTTAGCTTATAATAATAAATTGATTTTTCTCTTTCTGTCCATTAGTAGTATTGATGTATGGATTGTCTATATTCGTGAATGGATAGTTTTGTTTTACACTTATTAACACCGTACATGTGTATTTCTTTAATAATATTCCTGAGATTCATAATGAATTTCTTGATAAATTTCTATCAAATGCAGAAAAGTTTTATAGGTTGAACATGAATATCAAGCTAAAATGAGCTTATTTCTGGCCAAATCTTTTTTACATGAGAAAAATTGAAATTTGACTTGTCAAGTTTTAAACGGAATTTTTTCCCCCCAAGAATATTGATATAATCCCCAAAACTATTACTCATACAGTTTTCAAGACAAAAAAAATATGATTTAATTGATTTGGTTAAGCTTGCACCATTTCTTTCTTTAAGTATTAAATTAAATGAAACTTACTTAAATGATCTTTTGTAGACCACAATCAAATAACTACACTACTGTGACCAAACAGTCCGTATTTTTCGTAGAGGAAATCACCCCCAGTATCCAACAGCAGAAAATTCATACATCTTTATTTTTCAAATTCTTACATTTTCTAACGAAAGTTCGAGTATGTTGTTGTTATCCTGGTCCGTCCATCCGTCTGACACACCATCTTCCTCATATTCCTAGCTTTTACATTTTGAACAGTAGTCAACTCATCTTTTGAAATAAGATTCAAAAACCAGTCTAATTAAAATTAGATCCTTTACGCTCCCGTATTTTGTTATATCCTCCTTAACTAGTGAATAACGATAGTTATTCTATACATGTAGTTTTCACAAACATGTACCAGACTGACGTGAAATGCTTAGGTGAGCATGTGGCACTTTGGCCTCTTATATTAGTTTTTCATATATATCCATTACCAGAACTGAATAAACCATAAACTCTTATAATGAAGTAGTTTTGGAAAGAAGGTTTTTGTGCTAAAAAGACGATTTCAGCGACATAACAAAATACGGGAGCGTAAAGGATCTAATTTTAAGTAGATTGATTCAAAAACGTTCGTACAGTCTTCTTCATTTACAGCCTGGGGGAAATTGGGGTCAAAAATAAGCTTCGCTGGTTCCCATTTTTTGAAGTAGCCAAATATTTTTTTGGAATTTGATGGATAAACAATAAGGTTTCGAAATTTTTATTTTCACCCTACGCAGGTGCCAATTGTGAGGCCAAAACCATGTTCTAGGAACTCCTCTGTTTTACGCTGTATTTAAATCATCTTTCAGAATATGATTAGTTGAGTCCTGTAAATCTGCAATAAGGTATTGGAATTTTGATTTTCTTTGGGGAGGCCAATTGGGAGCAAGTAAACAACATTTTTCTACAAAAACATGTTTCCAGAACTCCTCTTACATTATACACAATAACCAAAACATCTCTTACAATATGATTGGTGATGTTCTGAAGATATGTAATGAGGTTTAACAATTTTCCTTTTATCCAGGAGGCACATTGGGGCCGAACACTTAAATCGCCTTTTTAACACAAAAACCTTCTTTCCAAAACTACTTTATTATAAGAGTTTATACTTTATTCAGTTCTGGAAATGGATATATATGAAAAGAGGCCCATGTGCCACATGCTCACCTAAGCATTTCATGTCAGTCTGATACATGTTTGTGAAAACTACATGTATAGAGTAACTATTGCTATTAACTAGTTAAGGAGGAAGAAGGAGACGACGTACATGTAGAGACAAACACTTACATACGGGTATATGTCTTATGACAGCATCCAGTTTGTGTCTGCATTTACCTCAAAGAAAAGTAAATAAACATTTTAGTTGTTTATTTAGGAAACGAATACAGCTCGAAAAGAAATATGGATGTACCAATGAGAGGGACCTATTTCACGGTACCCTACCAAATAACGTAGACGTCATCTGCAAAGACAACTTCGACTTCCGTCTTGCAGGTGAAAGAGTTGGAACTAGACTAGGACAAGGTACATATTTTGCCAGAGATGCCAAGTATTCAGATTCGTATGCATCACCAGATAAGCAAGGAAGCAAATGCATGTTTCTTGCCAAAGTACTCTGTGGAAAATGGTGCAACGGAGATGGAAATTATAAAAGGCCCCCACCCGTTGATCCTAAGAGAAAACATTCGGATCTTTATGACTGCTGTGTTGATGATGTGGATGATCCTAAAATTGTCTGCGTATTTGATCAGAATCAATATTATCCACATTACTTGATAAAATACAAATAAATTTTATTGCAAATTTTTATTACATATTTGTATTATAATGGACACAGCTTCTCAGTTCTCATTGTGTATCTTTTATTACATTGTGAAGTGCAAACAATAATCAGTCAGTACTTATAAATGTACATACGGCATCAAAAATCTTCATAATTTCTCCATGTTCATGTCGCTTTCAATATTTTTCCCGTGCAATACTGCATATTTTTAAATATTATAATTTGCTTATGATGTAAGATGATATTATACAAGACTGAAAGTAATGAAAAGAATTAAATCAATGAATGTTTTCTAGTGAATATCTTTATATTCTCTTAAGAACTGGAAATCTTTTCATTGTCATAAATTATAACGAAGTACGTTCTGGTGCATATGTAAATAAACTACGAGATTTGGCCATCTTTAAAAAAAAATTGTTTGGTTGCCCTCCCCCGACCGACTGGCTAAAAACGGCCCGACTTAAAGCTTTTTCTAACCTCCAGGAAGTAATAATTTTTTTATGCATTCCGGAAAATAGATTTTGTAAATTCAGCATTGATAAATATTCTTTGAAAAAAATTCTCATCTACCTACCGACTCAATTTTTTCATCCTGAGACGGGAGAGGGCAAGCAAACATTATTTCAAAGTTGGCCTTACATGTCTATACACTAACTCACTTTTTTTTACATTGAGAAAATCATATTGTATAAAGGTATAGATAATTAGCTTTTATCTATTTTATTTTCAATATAGGGTACGTTACGTAGCATTTACCCCCAGGAAAAATATTCTGAGACATTGAAGTGCTGATGAACAGAAATAACTGTTGTTTACTTTTAGTGAGGAAAATGCAAGCAAATAAAGTGTTCGGTCTATTTATCTTACATTATTCAAATGTTAAGAATGTTTGCACTAACTACAAATTGAGTAATAGATTGTAGATTTCAATTTATCAAATTTTAGATCTAAGAACATATTACTCTAATTCCATAAAAATACCATAGAAACAAAACTCATTTGTGTGCAGTGTATAGAGTGTTCTTAAAATTAATAGATCATGTTTTATTTTCCTCTTTTTCATTCTAGGTAAAGTTTTTTTTTAATACACTCAAGGTTTATAATTACAAGTGGAAATGTAATATTGTGCAGTAAATTTGGGTGTTCAATGTGATTTGAACAGAAAAATAAATTCAATAACAAAAGGGAACCAATTGTCAGCCTCAAAAGACTTCAATCATTTCTTTGTTACTTCCTTCATTTGTCGCTTTTCCAAAATTTCATTCAAAAACCCAGAATTGTTTGTTTCAAGCATCAGAAATAGACAGATACTTTTTAACAGGGACATCGTGACATGCAGGAAAGCTTTAAGACTGACCTGCGTCATGCATATACAACATACCTAACCCTAATCTACAAACTTTTCTATTAGTATTTTGTATGTTTTCATGGCAGTACTACACATCAAATACAATGAGTGGAATATAAATTCCAAGGTCATTATAGTTAAGAACCCTCTAAATATGCACATCCAAGAGTTCTAATCCTAAGGTATTTTTATGTAGATAGAGTGATCCGTCTTAGATCTAAAAGAAATAAATTAAAATATAAAATGTATTACTGAATTTATAATTAATTCAAGCATCCTTAACATTTTATCAGGTCTAGATGAAGTTATAAGGGTCATTCAATAAGTAATGCAACATACAGTTTATCATAATAAATGTAGAAGTATTTAATTCTATTTTTTAACAGTTAAAAACTTCTATTAAAGAACTCCTAATCACAGAAAATCCCATGCTTTTTCCTATTGTTGTCGCAAAGGAATTAACTTTTAAAGTAAGCATGGTCACTACACTGAGCTGAAAACCGTTTAAAGATGATCTCTGCCAAGAAGATGAAAAAGAGGGCGTATATGATTTCATTACAAAAATAACTGAATAACCCATATTAAAGATATGATTTTGATATGTGAAAAGACTAGTCTTTCACGTTGTATAGTTTTTAGATGAATTCGGAAATTTAAAAGAAAAAAGTACAATTAAAAGATGGCAGTTACAGTGGTCGATCGAAATCTGTAGGGGCACCACAAAATATGGATGCTGTGAGCAACATGATAATCTGAAAATGCCAAATTTCCATTGATAGACTTTGCTAAAACACAAAACATTTCATCGTCATAACAGTTTATAGAGTTCTGACAAATGAAATAAATCTTACAATAATTCTATCAGATAGGTGCCTTATTTCTTTACAAATGTTTATAAGAGAAAACACACGTTAAATGTAACAATGATCTATTTAAAAATAAACATTTTTACAAAAAGAAGATTTGATAAACTTGAGTGAGAGATGACGAAACATTGGTGTACTTTTTATAGCCTAAAAGGAAGATCAAGAATAAAATGTGGAATCAAAGAGAAAGCTGTCATCCTATCATTGCAAGAGAAGCAAGGCTCCAAATATGTTTCATTAGTTTTCTTTTTATACAAGAGGTGCAGTAAAACATGGATATACAGCCAAAGGAAGGACTATCAATGGTAAATTTTATGTTAAAATTTCACTCAGGAAAGTTAAGCAGATTTCCCGCTAAGCAAGCCCAAATACCGGTCCCCGGAGTTTTTTTCTGCACCTGAAAACGCTGCTGCAAATAAGCATAGAGAAATAAAATTTTGAAGAAAGGAAAATTTACAGAGCTTGGGCATTCCCCATATTAGCTAGATCTCAGCCATTGTAAGATCTTTTTCTACCAAAAACATATGAAAGCAATCAAAGGAAGATTTTACAATTTCAGGTATATCATGGAAAGTGCTATTCATCAGTGTCTTCGGGGCATCCCTAAAGATGAGTATGCTGAGCTTTTCTGGTCATGGGTACAAAGACTTTAGACATGTGTAAATGTTAACAGGGAATGCTTTGAGGGATTGAAAGTATTAAAATCAGCTTTACATGCTTTTCCTATTTTTAGATGACCTTTTGCATTATCTATTGAACGACCCTCGTATTTTTGTCCTGTCTGTATACACTGATGCAGCCAGTTATATATGGTTTGGAGTTGTGTTTGAAAAGAAATGGTTCTGTGGGTCTTGGCCAGAAACAATATTACCCTCAAGGAATTATTCCCAATTGTTTCATCCATTGAATTATCGGGTTCTAATTTAAAGAATTTATGTATTATATTCCATTCTAATAATCCAGCTGTTGTAAACTCACAAACATCGAAAGATTCAAAAATTATGATTTTGGTGAGAAGATTAGTTAGGCACTAATGATAAACAAAATTCTGTTTTCGGCAGAGCACATTCCAGGAATGTTCAATATTTCATCAGACTTTCTTTCAAGAAAGATCATACCCATCCATCTTTTGCAACTCTCCAAAACACAGCATGTAGTTTGTTTACACAAAAAAGTTTACAGACAGGTTAAATTGGTTTCTTTCAAGGTTAATAAAAGACCAACTGCATTAAAGGGGTATGGTATATTTCTGCCCCCTACATGCAAGATAAATTATGTTAACATGCGAGAAAAGTATGTCAACATGCAAGATAATTATGTCAACATGCAAAATAATCATGTTGACGTGCAAGTTACCAATCTTTTTTGAGAATCCAATTTCATTTTGGTAAACTTACTTATGTTAACATGCAAGATAACTTGCATTAATAACATGCAAGATATTTATGTCAACATGCGACTTATTTATGTTAACATGCAACATAATTATGTACACATACGACTTATTTATGTTATGTTAACATGGAATTTATTTATGTTTTAAACATGCGACTTATTTATGTCAACATGCAACTTATTTATGTCAACATGCGAGTTATATTTTAGCATGCAAGATATTTATATCAACATGCAAGATAATAAGTTGCATGTCAAAATACATATCGCATGTTGACATAATTAACTCGCATCTTAATATTATTATCTTGCATGCTGACTTAAATGTTACATGTCTACATAATTATCTTGCATGTTAACATAAATAAGTTGCATGTCTACATAATTATCTTGCATGTTGACATAAATAAGTTGCATGTCTGCATAATAATAATTGTGTAAAATCCAAATAAGATACATTTTTATCAACAATCTTTGAATTATTAATATTGGAAATTGAATCATTCATTATTCCTTTTTAAGAATTCTATTGATCCCTATATTGAATAGCTTTGTAAGTATTTACATCATACTCATGCTGTATACATCAAGTAATTGAAGCACATTTTTGAGGAACCCTTCTCTTTAAGTTCATTGTCTCTGGGGATATTTTTTGGTTCCCATCTTCTGCTGCATTCTACAATTGTAAAAACTGTTATTTCATTTGGCATTTGTAATAAATGCTCTACAACAAGCATTTTCTTTATTATTTGACTAGCTGCAGAACAAAGCTGCAATTGTGCTTCAGGTACATCCATTAGTGTCAGTATTTAAGAGCACATAAGTGTTTTTTTGTATATACATTGTAAATGAATTTATGTGGTATTTTTGTTTATTACTTAATATAAATTGTATGAATGCATGAGTCTTGAGGGAGTTTTCCGGATTAAGTATCTAAGCGCCTTCTAGTTACAGCTATTAGCTCATCCCAATCAAAATAATGTTGGTCTCCAAAAAGTGTGGTTTACAAGTTTAACCCTACTCCACCCCCTCAATTGAACTTTTTTTTTCTTTCTTTTATTTTTTTGAAAATGATTAGCACTACAATCATAAGTGTACAATGTACAATAGAAGGTTTCTTCATTGATATCAGTGGAAATGTTTGCCATCTGAGTAAAATATGCTGATTATCCAAATATTATTTCTTACTTTATTACAACTAGAACAGAATTTTGAAAATACGATTATTTTCAAACTAAACCAAGAGGTACCTGAATAAAATTTAACGTTGTATAAAGAGTTCATGTAAAGGCAATTTAATAATTACACTGCGTATATTAAAACAAAATTGACAATTGGATGAAGACATGTTGCTAACAAAAAGACAAATGGGATGACCAGGGATCAACAATTTTGAAAGTAGATCTATTGACTTGCCTGTATATGCCAGTGCTAACAACAGTCTATCATATCAGTTTTTAACATGGAAAACCAAACACAATCCCAATAACATTTGCCTCTATATATATTTGAACTAAATTTAATATACAAATTTAAGTATTTTGTCTAATTTTTATTCAAATTCTATTATTTACAGGTCAACCTGACCATCAAAAACTATGAGTACTTTTTGTATTATACATGCATACTAAAAATTTCTGGTTTAATTCTTTTATTCAATTCCAATCAATTACATCATAGGTGAATCACAAGGGAGAAAAACATCTCTTAAAGCAGAGTCCATACGTGTTCATATTAGTGCCCCAATCTCATAATAGAGCCCCAATCTCAGACAAGGACCCCTGACCCAGTGACAATAAATACAATTTTAGATGATGCACTCTTGCTCGTCATAATCAGGCAATTGGTTTGTCTGCTAAATACTGTGGAGCAGAGATTTTAAAGAATATATGCATTTTCTCTATACAATCTATTAGAGTCACTAACATCAGAACACCTGGCCCGGCTAGGGTCATGAATTTTACACTAAGCACTCTAGCTCATCATTACCATGAATTTGGTTTGCTTGCTTAATAACGGTACTCAGGAACAGAGAAGAGTCTTCAGGAATTTATGCATTCTCATTATATGATCTATAAAGTCCCACCCTAATATCAGAACCCTGGCCTTGGGACCATGAATTTTAATATAGGGCTCAATGCTTATCATAATTATGCCACCAGATTGACTGTTTAATGTCCAGGAGTAAAGTAGATTTTTTGAAGATTGCATTATGATTAATTTTGATAATCTTGCCCCCCTCACCCCCGGGGGGGAATTAGAATTTTTTGTTCTTCTTTGTCCATAGATGCTTTATACCAAAATTGGTTCATCAGAAGTTGAAAATGTTTAATTATTAACGGACAAAAACAGCAATAGGTCACATGAGTGACTTTGATGACCTTATATTAAGAAAGGACGTGAAGCTTTCTGAGCTTCTTCCAGAATAGTCCACTTGCAAGAGTAAGTACATCAAGAGCAATAGTAAAGTGTCAAAGTATCATAGTTTCAATGTAAAGTATATTTTTTTCAGAAATCAGTAATATGGCTAATTAATTTTCTTTATAAAGATAGCCTGAATAATGAAAGATCTATTCTTGATATAACTTTATAAAGTGCATGCAAAATAATTAAAAGAAGTTAAGAGAGAATGTCACCTCACCAAGTCGCATATTTCAGCACTGATCGAAGAAAACCTAGTACGATTTCTTTTAATATTAGTAATTTATTATTTACGTCATTTCTTTATAAAACAACAAACAAACAAACAAAAAAAACAACAACATTATTATTATTTTTTGTTTGTGTTACTAGTATTTATCCTCAAAGAACTGTACATGTATATAATTATAACTGTAAATATATTTTACTTTTGTAAACTACAGTTAATTTTTAAACAAATATCAATATCGATACTCCATGAGTTCGTTTAACAGAATGAATTGTTTTAAGCCTCCACGTTCAGATATTGATCATTTCTCTTTATTGAGTTAATCCTTTTACCTAAAGCCAAGTTTTTTTAACATCGCAAAACCCACAAAAAGCGCCCCAAGTGATGCAGCAAATTTAAATAAAGTTTTCATTGTTTCAACATCCTCGTTCCCCACGTCTTTTCTGATCGTATTGCGAAGGTACGCTTCTGTGACGTCTTCACTCCGATATTTTGTTTTCCGAGCTTGTATCATCCTGTTTATCACCTCTTCGCCCTTCTTGTAAATTGCATCCTCATAGAACGAACCTGTGTTTGCGGCTACATTTTCATCTACCATATCTAGCAAACATCTAACTTGTTGATTTTTCTCTTTTGCAGTTGCTTTGTTGTTGAAAAATATGCACCTATTTCCGCAACGGCTTAAGATTTCCTGAAGGTTATCTGGAACTTCGTTCAGGTATTCTTCTTCACTTTTTTCATTGTTGATAAGATCATCCTTCCCAGTGAAAAGAACGATGAAATATCTGTATATTTTCTTTCCAAAGTGGCTAACAAACCTTTCTACGGTTTCGTTTTCTTCTAATGTGAATCTGCTGCGAACATTTATTACGAGAATGATCGCATGGGGACCGGGGGCAGAAAGCAAGATGCACTTTCTCAATTCTGTCATAACGCTATTATTCGGAGTATCGGTATCAAATACACCAGGTGTGTCCACAACAACGACATATCTACCAAATCTGCTCACAATGTGAAATTGACATGTTTTGGTTACTGAGCGACCACCAAGACCTGTCTTAAATTTCTTGTCTTCGTTTACGATGGTATTCCCAGTGGCACTCTTTCCACTACCAGTTTTACCGAGAAGAACAAGTCGAATTTCTGGCTGGTCATTTTCTAATGAAAGGAAATAAATATACTGTAATTTAGATAAAATGTTTTTAGTCTTAACTTCTCCTTTGAATTCATATTTTTCTTTTAATTTTCTCTCCAAGTATATGAAAAATGCTATACTTACTACAGCATGCCATTTTCTGTAAAACAAAAAAAAAAAAAAAAAAAAAACATTTTCTTGAGTTATTACTCTTCAATTGATCTTTAGCTAATTAATTAAATTAATTTTCTTTACAGAATTGAAAAGACAACGAAATCGACATGAAATTCAGACAAAGTCACCTGGGGAGAGAGAGAGAGAAAGAGAGTGAGAGTGAGAGAGAGATTCTGATTAAATATGTTCAAAGGTTTTGCATTTTTAATTATACGTAATACATGTAATTATTTTGATGCAAAGTCCCCATTGTTTTATTCTCTAAATACAACACCACAACAAATATTAACATAACATTTTTCAATACTAATAAATTCTACACTAATATAATATTTTTGAGCAATAATGGAAGAAAGACAGCACTATAGTGACGGTAAACAGAAACGTATTTATCAAATATCCATGTGTAATGTACAGCAACTGCCCCCCCCCCCCCACTTCCCACTTTGAAAAACCTATGCTTCGTGTCTGGACACTGAAGCCAATGTTTTTAGAAGTGAAAACATTTTTGAATAACTTGGCAATAATGCATATGTGCAAGTTCTCTATTTTTAGCAAAGGATCATGCATTCTCTATAAGGCCGTTTTGCGGACTACAATGAGTTCAAAATTTCAAAAATATCTTTTCCCTTAAAAACGCATGAATCATCGGGTTAATGATCTAACTTAATGATAAATGTTGTTTGTTTGTTAGTACTTCATAAAGGGTAATAAAAGAGATGTACATTGGTACGTATTGGCATTAGGGCAATAGAAAAAGTAAGAGGGTGGGTGTGTTTGGCAACTTCTGCAATTGTCATACCACCATTAAACAAAACCTAACTTTGCATGCGAACTTCTTGATTATAAAAAAAGTGACTACCAACTTATGTATTTGGTTAAAGGTTATTATGACATCTAGATAAGAACTTTTTTTCACTTTATTTTAACGACAATTGCAAGAAAAGCTGGCTGTTCGCTTTTAACCGTTTTGCGTTTTATACACTGAGTGCTCGTATAATAAGTCCACAGAAAATTATATTAATATTTCATTCCATATGTCAATGTGGTTTGTTTATTCATTGTACATATAAAATTTGTTAATTTTCTTTAACATATACGAGTACATGTAGTTTATTCAGTCACAAACACTCAAATAAGACCCCTTTTATGTGCACTTCTTTTCATAGTCCAATCTTTGATGCCTCATTTCTATTACGTGCGTATTATAAGAAAATACGGTGCACATCTATGAAAAGGATAAAAAAAATTATTTAAACTTTAATGAATTAATTAATCAAAATAAATATTAACGTCATAAGCCAAAGGTGTGCATTTTTTCAAAGACATACATTCAAAATATGTAAAATGTAAATGCAGCGTAATTTTTGTCATAAAAATTAATTTAATCTTTAGTTGATACGTTTTTAAGATATGTTATTTAACTTATTTTAGACAGTGTTTGTTATCTACATTTATAAATAATTTGCCTATTTCTTCAAAGAACATCTATATAAACATGATATGAATAGACTTGTACCCTCATTTGTTTTATTTGACTGCCATTTTTATCTTTTTGTCACGTGACAAACGTGTTCGATATTGAAAAATAAATACCAAAATCATGAAAGAGACGGAATGAACTTACATAAGATCACATTTCATCGTTGGCCGGAAAACGGCTATGTAGAGAAAATGGACCTTTATGATCTTATTAATTACATGACTTTTACTTATTTCTTTCGTGTTTTATTTTAAGTTAGGTTTAGTGATGGTATGGTTCTTGGAACGTAATTCCATTGAGACACAAAAATGCAAGTTATGATAAAGGTAAAATAAATTATAAAAATAGAACAACCAAAAAAAAAAAAACACAAAACAAAAATGAACCAAAATAAATAATAATAATAATAAAAATATAATACAGCCCAGTCTTGTTGCAAAACGCATTTCACCTGTAACACTTGAACAGTCTTCATGAAAACTTTTCAAACTTGCTGGCCAGTCGGACCAGTGAACTTTCAAATTTTACTGGCCCACCAAAAGTTTTACTGGTCCCCTTTATTAAAACAAAATGAATACATAATTATAAATTAATACATGCTTGCATGAATATGCTTAATTACTTCAACTTTAGAAACGGCGCCATTTTCGCCCTTTGTCGTGTTTCGGTGTTTCGCTCGGCTGTCTCCGTAAACTTCGACTCTGCTGTCGAGATCATTCGGAAAACCTCGGCTGATTCCGTCACCTTTGTGATATGTAGATGAGGTACGAATCGGCCGAGGTAGGCCAAGTGACTGTGCGGCCGAGATTAGAACGACAGTGCAAAACAAGTTAAATTGATGCAAAGCTTCAAATCGGCCGCAAAAATATATTTCATTTTGAAGAATTTCCACAAGAAAGTGTCCAAAGAAAAAATCCAAATGGAAAAAGTATATGATACATTTTTACGTTTGCTTTACTTTTCTGTGCATTCTTTACACTAGTTTTCAGTGATCAATTGTTAAATATTTATGCAAATAAAAATATATTCATTAATATGAAAATCACTACAATAAAGGATAGACTACATGGTGGTATATTTCTGCAGGAATGTATTATCATCAAATGATTTGATTCCAGCACAAATGCAACAAATATCTAAAGTAATTGATTATGAATGTTTGAATGCTGAGAAAAAAGGACACAAGGTTCACGCGCTGATACATGTACCCTGGATTTTTGTCACCTTTGTAATGCCAATCAGTGTTGTGATAGCTATGCATGTGAAGTGCTGAAAAAATTTCATTGTGTTACTTGCAACTGCAGTGTAAATTCAAAACAAAATTCAGTTGTTATTCCAATTTATTAATTATTTTAGGCACTGTAATTCATATCCGGAAACTCAATACGTTTTCCTTTTATATCTTACGCGTACCCATGTTAGGGAGCAGTTCATGAAACAACTTTTTGTAAGATCATTAAATAAATAAATATCTGACGAGAAATGAAAAACAAATTGAAACATAATAACAACTATTTACTATTTAAACTTAGTTTTAAGCACATTCTTAAGACTTTTATTCGTAACTTTTATGTTTGTTATCAATAAGGAATTATTCCAACGAAGCATTAAAAAAATAACGTCTCATTTCCCCGCGTGCACATTCTAACACAAGCACAAATAGATCGGCCGATAACAAAGGTAAAAAGAATACGTACAAGCTGTAAAGCTTGAATGCAATAAAGATTAACTCTGTTATCAATGAAAATATAGAAGCGGTTTTTTGGGAGGGTAATTTCTATTAAAAAAAACAAACTAGCATGTTATTTCGAATTAATTACTGTCAATCTCCACTTTTCGTTTTGTAATATATTTTTTTTCGATTGAAAAATCTTGAAAAATTGTTAAGTCGCACATAAAATTAGATCATCAGAAAATTATCTCCCTTGCCGTGAACAGCATTTCAACCAATGAACAAGTAAAATTGATGCAAAGCATCAAATCGACCGCAAACAAAATTTAGCCTCTCAAAAAGTACTTTCACAATTTTAAAAGCATCCATGAAAGGAAAGCACAAGATATTCAAAGCTGAAAGAGTGATCATTTTTAAATAATTAAAAAAAATAAAATAAATAGAAATTTCAGTGCATTTGCTCATCAAATTCATTCATCGATGTAATTAAGTCAATGATAAATGATAAGAATTTATTGTCTTCAAAACTAAGATGTATGCCTATTTAAATTCAGATTTTTTTAGATGAACCACGTGCTGATACCCTGGATCTTTTTCACGTGATAATGCCCATGATTTAGAGTAGGCTATGCTGCACGGCGCGGGGCAAAATGTAGAAAAAATTATCCTTGTGTCATATATGCTGTAATATATTCAAAACAATTTTTACTAGTTGGACAACTTTTCAATTTTTATTACTTCATTATTAACCTGAAAATCATAACGATTAGCTTTCATATCTTACACACTCCCAGGTTGGGGAGTACATGTACCTATTGTAAACTCTTTTTATATACAGTGGCGCCGCGTTTATCCGGACGCCATTTATTCGGACGCTTCACCATCCGGACGATATTTTTTGGGAACCGATTTTTTCCACGTTATTTTGTCTCATTAATCCGGAAATTCGCGTTCCGTATCCGGACGGTCAATTTCTACTACAAAAACGTAATAGTTCATTGAAAAATGACTCGTTTATCCGGACGGTAATTTTTCAAAAAACGACTTCTTCACACTTCGCTTGCATTCGTGTTAATTGTTGTAAAAACATTGGCCATGCAGTCAGTTTGAAGACGGTTACCTGTGACCTACAAACAATAGCGTCTATTATTAGCGTGTGTTTACCCTAATTCAATCACACGTTTATCTTTAATATTTAGCTTACACTGTGCATTAATTAAATAATAATCTGTTAAAAATCATATTGCTAACCGTATGTACATCGGTAAATTCATGAGAATTTTGGAGAGTTGTAAATAAAATGAACAAATAATTAAATACCGAGCGATTTCGTAATGCTCTTTATTATGTTGATTGCGTTAGTTTAAAATACTGTTTTCCATTTCTAAAAACGTAAACATACGTACATAAGTGAAGAAATATCTCTATTTAATGTACTACCGTTTACAATCGTCCATTGCTTTAGAAAAGATAAGTAGTAAATATGTGTGTTTTTCGCGCCCGGTTTATACGCCCGGTTTCGGCTATACGCCCGGTTTTTGGTAAGAATATATAAGAAAACGATTATACACCCGGTTTCTGGTAAGGATATATAAGAAAACGATTATACACCCGGTTTCTGGTAAGAATATATAAGAAAACGATTTCACGCCCAATTTTGGAGAGAATATACAGTCATTAAACGTGGATTAACAAACGTTATCGATTTTGGTAAGAACACAGCAGGGTTCAATGGTTAAGAGGTAGGGTATTTATGTTCACGGTATAATTAACAACCTTATAGTTAGAGTGGTTTTAATGTAATGGTATTTAAGAAAACAATTTAACCTCTGTCAGAATCACTTTATTATACTCTCACTTGAGATTGTTTTTAGTCGAAAATGACTAGGATTTAATATGCAATCAATTAAGAAGAAGACGTTTCATGTATAAACACGATTCAGCTATTGGTATATAAGAAATAGTAGCGTCTGAATAAAAATGCATCATTTAATTATTATGCGTCTAATTAGAAATAAATGCATTATTTTAATAAAGAAAATTGATGATCTGATGATCATCCCTCTACAATCTGTGTATTTGTAAAAGAAAATGAATTTCACATCTGGTAGGTAAAAAGATTTAAGAAATAAATATAAGGTAAGAAGAAGTTATTGTCATAGATTTTTGATAAAGGTCATATACGAAACAGCAGTGTACGATCATTATATGCGGGGTAGTCAAGTTAATGAGTATGAATGATCCTTATATGACGAATACAGTTAGCTCACATCCGACAGGTAATTAAATAGGTTTAACAATTCTAGACAAAATGACGATCCACTTATTGTCACGGTAAATGTTCCAACGATATATTAAGCAACTGTAAGATATAAAAGACTCCTATTAATTAAAGAAAATCTTCCTTTAGGTGATCGTGGGAATACGGAAAATTATTCAATAAATGAGATGGATGAATACAATAAACATCATTGTAAGACATGTATTTTGTATAGAAAGAGATTGACTCCCCATAGGTGAAGGGAGGTAATCAAATGTGGTCATCAACTTAAGCAACGGAAAGGGCGAAAATGGTTATTGTTATGGTTATCTATCCGAGAACACGTTACGTCGACTTACGAGATACAAAAGACGTTTTTCCTATCAATTTAGAATCTCTTCCTTTAAGAGTTCGTGGGAATACAGAAAAGTATAACTGAGGGTCTGAATAAAAGAACCAGAGGAAAAAATAATAATTCAGCACTTATATTACTGACCATGTATCGTATGTTTACTGAAGTTCTCCCCTTACGGGATCTATCTAGTTTCTCACTGGAGTTAAATTTGTACAACAGAGAGCAACAAATTTACGAAGATGTATACTATTACATGAAGAAATCTTCACAAAATGTACGACCAAAGCTGCTATCGAGAATCGCTCGTAATTTAAGGATAACACAAGAGGCCATCAAATGCAGAGTCTGGACAGACCGAGGACAAACAGTCGAGGACCTGGATGTGCCATGGCACGAGATGTCTACATGTTATATGGGATGTAATATTATTGACTGCTTCCGAGAAATATTCTCAGAATATTTTGATGAGGAACGATTTTTCACGCCCAGACATTTCTTTAGAAGAATGGACATTGCCGTGAGAAAAATGAGTCGACGTCACCACCGGGAATTAAGCTGGACTGTGATTGGATATAGATGACATCATTTTGACTGATGACATCACAGACTGGATAATATTTAAAACCTTAACTCTATTCATTTCGAGTAATTAGACTACTCTTAACATGTTCCTGAGCGAGCGAATCACCTTAACCACTGGCATCTACCAGAAAGAGAAGAGAATAAGACTGAACAATGTGGACCATCCGGAAAAGAAAATATCCTTCTCCGACGCCGAGTGGTTGTTGCTAATAAACATTATCAGTGAAATTCACGTTCATGTGAAGAAACTGAGAGAGAACTCCTCAATACCGCCTAAAACCTGGGACTTACAGAGAAACGAGGAGGGAAACAAGCGAGTAACAGCGAAGAGATTCCCCGAGAGCAACGTAATCATAGTAGATTTTAGAGTCTTCAATTTCCATGTGGACCCTGCCCTTCCTACCAAATTTGGCATTGCACTGAACGAAAATGAATGGGAAAAATTCCAAGAAACATATCAGGACATCGAGCAGATGGATCAGTGCATGAAATCCATCATCGTGAAAATTCTGCGGAAGATGATTACATGTAAATCCAAGGAACGTTGCCACGGATGCCTGACGGATCATCCCAGCCAGAAACAACACATGGAAATGGGCTGCTTATCTTCGTGGGAGGAAAAGAGGGATATATACCTCCAGGACTGCCTGAAAAATATTCCGTCAGACATTATATTGCGGGAATTTAACGCAATTAACGGTGACGACTCGGACGGGGAGAAATACCTCCGGGACGCTAAAGAGGATAAGTGTTTTCAGACTGAACTTTCTAAATTGTCAGAATAACTTTTTTGTTGAAAAAGAGACTTTTAGGGGAGGGGGCAATTCTGGTTCTACATTTTTTACTGTATAGTGTCGTTTACTTTCTTGTGTAAGTTCAGAGACTATCAGAATTATTGTAATGCACATATATATTTTCTTACCATTTATATGAAATAAAATCTCTCACGCAGACTCAAGGTGTTATGAATTTATTGTACTATGCTACATAAAGGAGGGAAAGATATATATATCTCAAAGATTGTATAATGTATAAACAATGCTGTACACAAAAAAATCATTTTGTTGCAAGTCATTACAAAAGAGTCGTTGAAACACAGAGAGATTACAGATTCTACTCATTACCAGCAAGAATAATATACAATACAGTCCACACGTTTGACTAGCTACGTCTTGTATCTGGAGGGTATTATATGTACAGAACAAAGAATTGTGAGCAGCGAAGGAATGTATCTGAGACGGTAAACTTCTCAGGTCCCTACCGTAACTATCAAATACGTAACAGTGTTGGGGCGAACTAAAATAAAGCGCTATCCAATGTTCTCCAGGTGTAGTAGAAAATGTAGTGTTAACAATATAAGCACTGGGATATTGTTCAACATTTAAAGGTAAATTATTCGGAGAAAATACCCCTTCAAACTGAGAAGCTAGAATAAAATCTAAACGACAAAGGTCAAAAATGAGGTGTCCGTTCATGATATAGAGTTAAGAATTATATTTCTAGTATTGTCTATTTCAAAATACGAGGGGAATTCTGCATAAAGAATGCAGGAAACGGTCTCTGTAAGTGCCTGATCGAAGGCCAGTTCTAATCGAACACTTGCTTGATTCATCAAAGAGAGGGTGTCGGTGTTTCCAAACTGAGGTTGTAACGAAAAGCCGTAAAGGCAGTATCCATATTTCCAATCATCTCGGTCAATGTTGTTCCCGGAATCGATTTGAGATTTGTCAACAATATCGAATAAACTGCGGTAAGCGGAGATGTAACAGTTTTCTTCTATTTTGTAAGGCTGCCCGGGGACACTCACATTATTGACAAATACGCCGACATGACGAGCGCCAAATGTTTGAAAATTAAAAGGGTTTTTTAGATAACTCCCTGTCTGAGCCTCCGTGGAAACCAGTCCGAGAACGATTTTACTGGGACAGCGGGTCAAATAAATGTTATCCCAGATGAACCGGGTCTGTCCGGTGGCGATAGAGGCTACTTTAAGGTCTGTGTTAATTAGGGGATATTTGGCTGTTGTCATTTCTAAAGTCTTTGTGTGCCCTACGATGATACCTGGTGACACCTGCACTCTGCAAGCCCGGAAAATGACGTCATCAAATACGACCTTGTAGTGTGGGTCAGTCTCAGCGGACATGAGACAGAAGGATGGGTTTTGTCGATAGAGTTTAATGTTAACGTCCACTCCATTCAGCACAAAACGATCAAGTCGACACACATCTTCTAAGATGGGCCCTTCTAAATCAAAAGATAAGCTTTCTTTACAAAATGCGGTTCGCGAATATAACCCCGAATTAGCGCCGTTGGGGTCCGTGACATCCATGAAGCCCGCATCATCCTTAAAAAATAAGCTGCACTGGAGTTGGGATTGCTTAGCCTCCTCACCGTAATTCAACAAATTCTGCAGGTAAGCTTTATAAGCATAGGTTGCGCCCCCGCTACTCGGGAACTGTTTTCCGTTTAAGGATATGTCCACCTGATTAAAGAGACTGTGCAAAAAATTATTCACAGGACCCACTTTCTCATCCGCCCCGATAGTGGTACCATCCGCCTTGAAGATACGAGCTTTTATAAACAACAAACTTTTTTTCAAGTCTAGGTAATCCCCAGTTCCAGGTACAGTAAATTCTACGGGACCGTTTTCGCTTATCTGAGACACGGGTCTACAATCCACGTAAAAGTTACGAGTCACGGCTGTTTGTGTCAGGGGCAAATTAAACAGCAATAATTCCCTGGGCAACCCCTCTTGGAAGTCTGCGTAAGCTAAGCTCGTCATGTTGGTTCTAAGTATGAGAAGTCTGTTTTGCGGGTTTCTTTTTATTCTCAGAGAAATCACGTCTCGATGCAAGTACAAGACTCTGATCGATGTAAGGCCAAATTCTTTTAAGGTACTCCCACTGCACTGGGTTTAATTGTATACCTTTGATCGTTGCTCTATTGTTCATAAAACGTCTAAAATCGATTAAGATCGAACCCTGATAAACGCAGACGCTAACATGCACCGCGTCAGATAGGGGAAACGATTTTAAGTAGTCACAGAGAGTCGCGTTAAAAGCTCTAGTGTCATTAACAACCAGGGGAGAGACGTGTGTGTTATTCCAAATGTCTATCGTCATCCCGAACACAATGAAAAATGGCATCAGCAATAACAACACTCCGGTAGCCTTTACAACCCTCAGAGGTTTCTCGAATTGTCGTTTTTTAGCCATCAGCTGTGATGAGACGTCTTCTTCAGGTTCCATTTCAGTAGTCGAAATTATCAGAATGTTTTAGCTTTTTACTCGTTTTTTTCCTCTTCTTGGCCTTTACGCGACGTAATTCCGACTTGGCTTGTTGTAAATCGCGTTGCGTGGGCGAGACAATGGTAATTTCCGGTGACGAATGTTGTTTTTCCCCACCTCGCGAAATGTGACCAGAATCAATGGGTACTATTGTAGTGGTCTTAATGCTACCATTTCCCAAGTTTCCTCCAGTCTGTCGTAATGAGTTATGTAAAATCGGTGTAGTGGCGGAACGCATAAAAAAGTCAGACCACTTTTTCGTGTCTGCCACATAAATTTTTGAAGAGCGCATGCCTAAATAAAGGGGTATTTTTTAAAATGAAGCACTAAAATCACGTTTGGTTTCGGTGGCACTGAGCTCTCCATGTACACTCTTATAGAATGAAAGTCTTTAATGACAACAGGCATATACATGATACGCGAAAAGGCGACGTCATTCCTCTCACTCTGCAGAAACAATCTTTTTAACAAAGGTCTTTTCTCTCCTCCAACGAGGGTATCTGTACAAATATTACTGTATATTCGCATTTCACACTCCCTTTCCATGTCGAGACTTAACTCGCAGAGCCCCACATACCATCGACCTCGTAGAGACGTGTTTGGTGTGTGAACCCGGAAATCATGAGCAGCGTTATTGGGAAAATAGTTCAGGGAGTCTTTATCCGAAATGACCATGTAAAAATCCATTCTAATTTAATTCCTTGAGGTCGCTTTCGGGCACCCAGCTATTAAAACTCCGAGGAAAATTTAACCACTTAACTAGTACATACGTCTTTTTATTTCGTCGTTTTTTACGCAATACCTTCTCCACCTCCCACAGAGCATTCTCGGGTTTCTGTACTTTCTGAAGTTCAGGTTCATAAAAGCTACCCGTCAGGTCTTCATCATTTAAATCTCGTAGTTTATACATAGGAATGTTTTGTTTCAGGAACCTGGAATGTATTTTAAACACCTCGCCTGTAAATTTCTCCATGAACTCACGTTCAAAGGCATGTTTTAAGTGTGATATGCGGACAGTATCACCAACCTTAAAACGAAAAGAAGATTTTTTCTTTTTATTCTGCTTACTTGACTTTTTATTCTGACGCCGAAGGGGAAAGTTAAAATATTGCAAAATAATTTGGTCGACTTCATTTGCTTCATTAATGTCATTGGGCGCTTTAAAACCCAGTGATCGATGAGGTGTGCAATTGTAGTTGGACACTAGCAGCTGTAGTTGTTTAGCGTATTTAAACGAACGCTTCTTTTTCATGTATCTGTGCATTAAACTTCTCAAAGTTCTGATCACACGTTCTACATAATTACTTTTAGATTCGCCTTGAGTCGTGAAATGCTTAACTCCGACGGAGGTCAAGTACTTTTGGACTTGTCGAGCCATGAACTCCTTACCCGAGTCCGTTCTGACTTTGCGCGGTAAGCCCATCTCTCTAAAGCAACGCTTGAGAGCGTTCAATACACTAGCACTCGATTTATTTTTCAGTGGAGCTACCCAGGTGTATCGAGTAAACACATCAATGACCACCAATAAATATTTAATATCTTCGTTTTCTTTTGCGTGAAATCCGACATCCATTAAATCGGCGTCATATTGATCTTTTATTCCACCCGCGAAGACTCGCGCTTTCTTAAAGCGTCGACGCACAGCTTTGTTCATCGAATACACATCCTGATTTTGTAACCATTGCCTTATTTTGATCAGACCCACTTTGTATTTGTTCTCTTTTTTCACCTGGCGCCATAACTGGAGAGGACCCCTAAACGCACCCGGTTTCTCGGGATCGAAATAAAGTGAACTTAAATATTCTTGGAGTTCTTCGGATAGAGGCATTCTTTTTTTCTTAGCTGGTTTCCAAAAATTGACAACACAACAACACTGTTTCCTTTAGATCGCACAGTACGCTCCACATTTCGGGGGATAAAGAGAGATCTCGCTTCCCCTTTTTGATTTTAACATAGTACCGATGTTTTCTTTTAGATACGGTCACTAAATGAGTCGCATTGATATGGCACTTTATTTTACGTTTTCCTTTCCAATTGACATTCACATTCTCTCTGATACCACACATTGAGTCGTGATTCATTTTCCACCCTATATAAACTAAATTTATACAAAAAAAAATACTAATAAAGAACAGGTGTTAACATGGATCCCAGCGATTTTGCTTTTAAGGTACCTTTCTCATTATTCGTGAGTGGTCCCAGTCAGAGTGGTAAAACGCGATTTACACAACGAATCTTAAAAAATATTGACAAAGGGATTCTCTCAAAACCAATTAAAAAGATTGTGTACGCATATTCTCAATGGCAGCCTACGTTTCAAGAAATACGAAACTACAACCCAGCTATCATTTTTTATGAGGGACTCCCTTCCAAAGAGGATATGGCGGAATGGGCGGGGAGCGGTGAATTATTACTCATTCTAGACGATCTAGTATACAGGGTCATCCAGTCCTTTGATTATATGGAACTCTTTACCATTCATGTACATCATATGAATATATCGGTCATATTTATTTCGCAAAATCTGTTTCCACAGGGCAAGTACAGTCGAGTCATTTCTTTAAATTGTCAATATCTCGTACTTTTCAAAAATCCGAGAGATAACTTTCAAGTGAAATACCTTGCGACTCAGCTTTACCCTAACAGAACGCCATATTTTCTCGATGCGTATGAAAAAGCGACGCAAAAACCATACTCTTATTTATTGGTGGATCTGACCGTAAGTGGACAAAGAGATTATGCGCTGCGAACAGGGATATTTCCTGGTGACCTGTTAACAGTTTACATGAGAACAAAGACATGAATGACCGTCTTCGTCGGAACTGGGCTTTTTTGAATTTGTTAGCTACAACCAGTCCCAGACAGCGCCGAGTGTTATTGGAAACTATCAGTCTTAAACAGTTAAAGACTCTTTTGGAAGTGATTTACAACGTGATTCATAATCGAGAAATTGTTCCCTCAGATTCTTTTATTAAGAACCTCTACAAGTATCGTCACATTCTGCGTCGTTTAGCTAAGAAGAAAGGGAAAAATAAAAAATCTCTGTTACTAAGACGCCACGGATTTCTCCCAGTGTTACTGAAACCTTTACTCCCGGAACTTGCTAAATATGTCTACTGAATTTGTATTAATTCCTAAAGAAGAATACCAGCGACTGAAGAATCATCCCGCCGTGAGTAACAAAGAGATGAAATCCCCTAAACTCCCACTGAAAAGATTGGCCGTTGTTGGAAAAAAAGAAGCGCCACCTGGAGTAAAACATTCCACAAAATGGATGTCCTTCTGATTGTATTATTAATACAATAAATTTATCTGTCAAAAAATCAACAACAAAAGTTTTTTTTTTTCTTTTTGATTTATTAACATACAAAGGGAAAAAAATCAAACTAGTCTTCTATAATCATAAGGAATCGATTACTTAAATGGTTCCGATCAGGTAAGACTTCAGAGTTCATTTTAAAAAAAATGTGTTAAAAATTTAACAGTTCATTAAGCGGAAAAAAGCTGAATTAAAAAAATGCTATTGCTTTTTTTTAAGGACAAGTAATTCACAGAATACATGTAAAATTTATATATATTACTTGTAAAAAAAAAAAATCATAACAAATTAAAAACAAATCTGCAATTATAAAAGATTGAACAACTCGCTGAAAAACAAACCTATACTATAATCGTTAAAAGAAAATAAATTAAGTTAAAAACAAAGGTTTTCACAACAGTTCGCACTTTGGAAGGGGGGAAAATCACAAGTTCATTCCTGTTTCATCGAATCAGAAAAGGGGTTTCTGCTGGTGTCCCGAAGAAAAATTGTCTCGGAGCTTCCAAGGTCTTCTGCTGGTGGTATCTTTGCGAATCGTCTGCGGCAAAAACGTTTCTTTGTCAAAAGAAGAAAGACGACAGCGAGCAATAACAGTGACAGGATGCTCAGAGTCACGACAGCTGCCACCAAGGAAGAGACTATAAAAGAAAAAAGGAGAAATGATTAAAACTTAGTAAATAATTATCTTTAGTGATTTTTTTAAAGTCCTTCTCAAATTAAATTACATTATATAAAATATACCTTTTTCTCTTTTATCATCGCCGTCCATGGGGTAAGGTTTGATGGTGCTGTAGAGGGTCGTGTTCTCCGTTGAAGTCTGATTAGTTACCAAATCAGGGGTTGCTAGTGTCCGATTGACGGTCTCTGTCGTTGTCTCCGTCGTTCTGGTTTTCTCTCCTGGGGGTTTGCCGGAGACGGGACGAGGCGTAGATGTTGTCTATAAAAAATTGAAATAATAATAAAATTTACTTTTTTTGTTAAAATTTGTTCATGCATTTTTTAAAAAAAAAAAAAAAAAAAAAAAATCACTTTCACTTATAAATCATTCATCATTAATTCTCATACACATGTGCATTTAAAAAAAAATGCTTTTTTTTCCCGCACGCAGATAAATAAATAAAACATCATACCGAATAAGTGCAGTAGCTCCTGTTGATAATCACAATTGGGAAACCAGCAAAATCAGAGCAGTTCATGGTGCCAGATCTGTCAACTCGATCGTGCGCAGATTGGGGAGACACTGTGGTGTTATGGTCACCCTCTGGCTGTGGGGATTGATCATGATCAGACGTTCTGCATTGAACAGTTTCCGCCCTGCATTCTCGCATGTGAGGTCCTCCTTCACCTTCTTACAAATCAGCACTTTCCCCTTTGATGAACAGGAACGGGAAAAGTCCCCCCTTACCGCATACGCAAAGCACAGAATTACTAGCAACTTCATCTTTTCATCCATTAGAGTGGCGGGAATGTTTATTGGGTCACCGGGTAAACAAAGGGGTGGACAGGATTTAACGGACAAGTATAGCTTAATAATTTCTGCATTTTACTTGTAAAAAATTAAAAACATATTAATTTCGTACTAATTTTGAAAAAATTAATAATTCTAAATGTGATATTTTAAAACATGTCCTCAAAAAACAGTATTCTTTACATGCGTAACTCTCTAATAGTAGACTGACCCAGAGGGCTATTCTAAGACTTAAAACAAAAAGGGGTGCTAAACATCTACCGGACGATACCAAAAAAGGGAGAAAAAAAACTAATCCCAAGGACAGAGTTCAATATCAAGATAAGTCGTCGACACTCCATCAGACAAGACTTTACGCTTTGGATAAAAAGAAGTTAGACCTTGTCGCTGTTGAGTGTAGGTAAAGACAGTATTATTTCGAGCTCGAAAGCCGCGATTGGTTTCGCCAGCAGATGAGTTATCAAACAATACGCGTTTATACAGAGGCAGGGGATGACTGAAATTGTTTTTATTTAATCCTTTACAACTGAATTTACTTTTCTTTAATTGTAAGGTGTTTTCCACGCAGTATGTTTTGCTGCAGAGGGCTACCATGGCCGTACCGACAAATTCTTCTTTAAATAGACCGGGTTGACGACGATCAAAGGCTGCCGCGTCGGGAGGGTGCGTGCGAGGAAACCAATCATTTTTCTCGCGTTCAAAACAGTTTCGCATTTCGGGTTTTATGATATCCACAAAGTTTTCATTTGATATGGCCATATACAAAGAATCAGTGTCCATAGACATCAGTTCGAAATCTTGACGAGAACAAAATTTATCTACACAATCGTAATAAAACTCTAGCATACGCAGCTTAGCATACTGAAGCACAAAATACCCGATTTGAATCGGTAGATCCAGTGTTATACGAGATTTTGCGAGCTCGATCTCAAAATGATCGCTGTCAAGTTCGGTTAGTGAGCGAAAGCGTTTTTTAGACGCAAAATACCCAGCTTTTTCTTTTGTTACACAATACGTTATATCTGTATGTTTCTCTTTATTCATAATCATTGAACCGTAGGCACTGTTACCTTCTTAGTGTCGGCGAATATCTCAAAACGCGGATCACTATCACCACGACGACGAGCGTCACTGACTTCTCGCGTAAAATCGGAAAAACAAGCATTCGGGGTGAATTCAATGACTTGGTAGATCCGCGAAACAACTAGACCATGATTTAAATACCACTTTAAAAGAGGGGTGGCTAGTAGAATTTTCCGCGCACGCATGCCGCCGACTAACAATCGTCGCGGTTTTTCCCCCAAATCTAATTTTCGTGCAGTCTCCTGTGAAAAGGGACCTAGTGTGTCAAAGGGAATTTCTGAATTACAAAATATTGGTGACATTTCGGAAAACTTGTTAAGGAGGTGGTTGGGAACATGTATGTCCACTTCCACGGCACCAAATATCTTTTTCTCGCGCACGGCTAACAGAATTTCATCTCTCGTTAGTTTGGCTCGATGTTCTAAAGGTCTCTGTTTACGCTGTCTCTCGATAAAGGAACGAAATTCTGGAGATACGTTTAACCATTCTTCATATTGACATTCCCACGTGACTTCTATTTCATACCCCTGACTTTTAATGTATTCCATACGCTCTTGCTCGCGTTTACGAATTTTCTTTTGACTGTTTAACCATTTCGGGTCTTTGATGTGCGCGGTCAGGTTGCAGTCGTGTCCATGAAAGTAGCATCCATTGAATTCGTAGACTTTTTTCTCTGCCTTACAAAAACCGTCAACGCGATATGGTCCGATACGAAACTCTTTTCCGGCATTAAAGTAGTGATCTATATTTAACCCTCGACTGTATCTCAACCATTCTAGAAAATATAATGCTTTTAAATATCGATCGCGCTTTGTAAGCTGGAACTCGCTTTCCTCTTTTCTAATCGTAAAGGGTCCGGTCGGCATATCTTGACTAAGTGCCCATAGATACAGCGCATTGGCATCGTACCCTATAATTTTCTTACAAGTTTTATCGTTATTTTTTCGAATGAACGTCG